AGGAGCCGGTGCTCGGCGGTGGCGGGTACGGGGAGGCTCGGCGTTAAAGTCAGCGCTTTAAGCGAGGAAATATGATCGTCCATTTTAATCCCGCGTTTCTGGGTAATTCATTTCCTGATGTACTGTGGATTTATCTGCTGGGATCAGCATCGGGAGAATTAGCAGCCTGACCTCCTTCCGTACCGCTCCAGCGCGTCGGTAAATCTCTGTTATTAACTCCCAAGGTGCTCTGCCCAAACGCGCCGGGCAGGTAATTCATGGGCTGGGCCAGGGAGGCTCCTCTTCCTCTCCAGGGTGGAGGAAAACGTGTCACTGGGGCAAGATTTAAGACCAGGGTCCTCGCTGGTGGTGACACCTCTCCTGTTTGCCTGGCCCCGAAGCCCCCCGGGTGCCCAGGGAGCGAGCGATGCTCCCCGGGGAGCCGGGTTCTGTGCAGTGCCGGCCCCGCTAACGGTTTGCCGCGCCCCCGGCCGCACCGGCGGGTCCGTCCCTGCGGCAGCGCCGGAGGCTCAGCCCCACGCCGGGCCGAGCGCTGCCCTTCGCAGCGGGGTGTGATGTAGAGGAAGGGTAAAGCAACGGGTTCTTCTCAGCCCGTGAACGCAGCGCGTTCGGCAGTCGCGGCCCCAGACCGCATCCTGAACCTTTAACTGATTAGATTTAGAGGAGGGAAGGAAGGATGTCTAATTGTTTAATTTCCACAATCATAAAAATGTTTATAAATAATTAGGACTGATGGCCGCAATTACACTGTGACTAAAGCCGGTCGACACTTCAACGGCCCTCCAGTTTCGTGGCCTGACTGGTTTATTTCCACCACAAAAAATCCATTTGCAGTGGCATTGCTGCCACCAGAGAACCGCACTTACTCGCTGCCTGCGAAGGACTCGGCAATCCGGTGGTGCTGCCTGTTGTGGGAACGGCGCTGCGCAGAAACCGCGCTCGCTGGACGTCGGCAGGAGGAAATTGAATTTCGGTGGAGAGGAAAGCGAAGCAGAGCTAAAAATCACAACATCCCTTCCTGCGTGTACGGTTCCGAGCTCAGCGTTCCAGCCCTCCCGGCTCGCCGTTCGTTTCCGCGCACGCTGGGCATCGCCGGGCAGAGGGATCATTTCTCCGATCGCCGTTCTTTGACAATAAAAGAGGGGGAACTGCAAAGCTTCCCCTGGCAGAGGGAAACGTCGTCCTTCCAGGTGCTTTTTCTCCCTTGGCGGGAGACATGGGGCCGGCGACATCCGTGGGCCAGGGCTGGTGCTTGTGCCCGTCCCAGCCTCCCATGGGGGCAGCACCAGGCTGGGCGCTGCGGCTGTGGCACCCACCAGCTGCCCATGGCCTCGCTCCCGGCCAGGATTTCGGTGCCAGAAAGCAGCACGAGCTCCTTTTAATTTCCCCCATCAGTACCGGTTCAGCGGAGCACTCGAAAATATGTGTGATTTCATAAAAACGATGGGTGCCACCGAGGAATTCACCGCGGTCGCTCTCCCGGGAGAACCTTCACCTCCCACACGAGCCCCTTGGCCCCCGCTGCCAGCTGGAGCGGCCGATCCCCTTTGGGTGCGAGGTCCATCCCTCCTCCCGCCTCCACGTGGGATTTCATCCCTCCTAACACACGTCCTCGCCAAGGCCCAGAGCTGCATCCCGGGATGTCCCCATGCCACCCAGCCCAGAGCACCCGCAGTGTCACCTGGGGGTTCCTGGGGACAGAAACGACACCCCCAGCTCCTGACCAGGCTTCATTTTCAAGCCACGTTCCACCAAGGACCAGCTCCTTGGAGGAGTTCTCAGGTCATGGAGTAGCTGGGGGCTGCACCCAGCGTTTCCTCAGCTCAGCCCCCCACCCCAGGTGTGATGAGTTCCCGGGATGTGCCAATCTCAGGGCACCTGGCCCTGCTCCTCCCCTGCCCTCCCTCCCCACAGCCCCTCTCCTTAAAACCTCCTGGGCAGGCTGACCTTCTCTGGCATGAAGTGAGTTGTAGTGTGTTGTGCTGGTGCCTTGGGGGACTCCTGGGACCTGTTCAGCTCCTGTTGACTGAAATTCTGAGGAACAGCTCACTCGTGGGTTAGCAGAGATGCTGCGGGGAGTTATGAGATGACACGACCTTCCCACTGGAGCTGTGGTGTCCCCATCGCCCCGGCAGACGTGGTCCTGTAACCAGCTGGTGGGTGCAGCAGTGAGTCTTTTGGCATGTGTTCATTAAGTGTTTCCAAAGTGGTTTGTTCCAGGCTGGGAAAAGGCAGCTCTGGTGTTAAAACAACGGGCTGTGGCTTCCAGCTGGCAGATTTTGTCACTTGTGGATGTTTAAAAGTGCTCGTGTGCTGTTGGGATGCAGCTGGAGGCCTGGGTGGAGAAAGGGACAGGAAGTTTTAAGTTCTAGATTTATGATCCGTGAGAACTCATCACCACTCTCGAGGTGGTGGAGCTGTCCTCCGCAGAAAGCGAGACGAGCTGCGTGGTGGGGGCAGGTTAAAGCCGTTGCTGTAACAGGCTGAGCCTCACAGGAGCCACCCGGGGTTCCCTGCTGTGCCGGGGGCATCGGCTACAGCCGCGTTTCCAAGAAAAAGGTGTGTAAAACCAGAGCGAAAGAGGAGGACTTAAAGCGGCGAGGAAGGCTTTCCTGATTCCTCGTGAGCTGCTTTGTTGGGGAGGCAGAGAGGGATTGTGAAAAAGTAAAGGTGAGGTGGAACGTGTGCTGATTGCAGCCCCTCGTAGAGTTGGAAGCGTGACAGGGATCCAGCGGCTCCGGAGGAGGGAAGGGAGCGACCTGCGAGGGCCAGCGTGGTGTAAAGAAAAGGTTCGGCTGCGTTTTGGGCTGTCACAGGCAGGGAAGGTGGGGAGCGCCGGCTCCGTGGAGAATCTACCCAGGGAAGGTCACAGAGAAGCCATTCCCCATCAGTTTTTCATGAAAGTCTGCAGGAATTAATGACACCAGCTCCTCTGCAATGTGATGCTGGAATATTCAATGGGTTTTTCTACTTTTAAGGCCCATTGAAAAACTTGAGGCACCGTAAGAACTTCCTGTACCTCCAGTTTTCAGACGGAGGAGGGATGAACTTTATTTGTGACTCGCTTGCCACTGCACTTAGTACCCACTTACTGCTTTTTCCCCCCATAATTTATGCATGTGGCATTCCTCTGCTGCGAAATAGGCCAAGGGACGCGGGCAGCGATCGCGGAGCCGTCTGCTTAATCCGTATAAGCCTGCGCCGCGCGCGGCGTCCAGTTGGCAGCGGAGATAATCAGCCTACAGGCAGTTCAAATGCTCGTTACAGTACATTTTATTCGTCAGTATTTAATAAGTAATGATTCTGAAAAGCTCGGAGCGTGGTCTGTGCCCATACCATCTCCTGCTGTGTTCCTGTCAAAAGGGATCAGTTAAACTGGGTTGAATCTGGTCGATTTTTGGATGAATACCCACCAAGGAATCTCTAGATGCCATAAGAAGTTGCAGTTGTGGAGTAGGAGGTGCTCTTTTGCTTGACTTAGTCCTACATAGTGCAAAAAAGAAAGGGATGGCTCTGTGCCTGGAAGCTGGGCACGGCTCTCCGTGGCTGGGCACACACCGGCGGCGGGAGTGGAGTCCCCTTCGCTCGGATCACGGTGGGTTACGCCGTCGCACAAGGGGTGTAACGCTCAGAGTGAGGGGTGGGGATCACTTGTGGATCTCTCGCTGGCAGTAAAATAAGATCTTTCCTCGTAGCGTTTTATGAGCAGAATGATCAATCGCTGCAGATCCAGCAGCTGAGCTGCAAATGCAGATCGGAGCAAGCCTTTTCTGGAAAGAAACCTTTCCCATTATCTCAGTGCTTTGGCAATTTGTATCTTCGCTCGTTACTCATCCTGTGAACTTGATGGGAATTTGCAGCTGGTGTAAGAGGATCATCTGCTTGTCCAGCACCTGGGGCCAGCAGAGCTCGGCCACCAGGATTCCATGCAGCTGGAGGAAAAGAGGCAGCAGGAAGCAGGCAGGGGAGGCTCTGCAGCCTCTCCGCTTCCCCCCCAGGACTGACTTGCTTCTTTCTGGGGAGCAGCGGGCAAGAAGGGAGCTGTAAAAGTTGGGTCCTTGATTCTTCTGGCTGCTGGGCTGTAGGATTTGTTATTAACTTGTCTCTCTTGTCTCCGACCTGATTGCACTTTCCACTCCGCTGGCATCTGCTCATCAGCAGAGCTCCTGCTGGTGGAGCCACACGGATGGCCCCGAGCGGGTCCGGGTCCGTTCCCTGGTGCGTGGTACCGTTTTGCACAGGGCAGCCTGGAACACTTCAGGCACAGAGGAAAAAATGGGGGAAAGCCAAAGGGATGGGCATGTAATGTTTTTAAGTCACAAAGATTAAATACTGCTAGAAGTTGCTCACAGAGATTCTGGCACACGTCATCACGGCACACAACTCCACTACAACTGTCTGCCACCTTTCCCTGAATTTTTCATAGCTCCTTTATGCTCTCTGAGCAAACTGCAGCACAGAGCTGTGGTGTGTCATGTCACCACCCTTTGTGCTAACAGCTATGTGACAAACTTTCTTTGTTTTCCATTGTCTGACTTTACCTTGTGCGAAGCTTCATTTTATACATCTCTTCAGGGACCAGTCTAAGTGGTCCCTGAACACCAACAACAGCACGAACGATGTTCTGTGGTTGTTCAGAAATGGAAGTAGGATTCCAGAATTAGTAGCTAAAAATAAAAAAGGACATCACAGAACCAGTAATGCTTTCACAGCTGCTCTTCAGTTTTCCAATTTCTGTCGTCAGTTTATTAGCGAGATCTTGCTCCGTACTTTTTGACTCGAGGCCTTGTACAAATCTGGCAGGTCGCTCCGTTGTTGGGACTGTGAGTTCTGGGATCACAAAGCACTGCGAAGGGCACAGGGTCAGTGTTCTGGTGGGGCTGGGGCCATGGGACAGCACCACGTGCCTTCCCGGCACCGTCACCTCCCCAAACGTCCTGCGCCAGCCCTTGCTGGGCACCCCCAGCTCCAGCGCTTTGCTGCTGGCAAAAGAGCTTGTGACACAGCTGAGTGTTTTCGAGCAGTGCTGCTGTTAAGGTAATTGTTTGTTATTTGCCCTGTATCCTGAGCATAGTCACTCACTAGTGACCTGGAAGGAAAAAAAAACACTTCACTGCTTCCACTTAGTCTGTTGGGAAATCCAGTTACACCTCTGAACGCCAGTTTGGTTTTGTCCCTTTCAGCTGTTTTTTCAACCTGTGATGTGAATGTCTTTCCAAAAGGTGAATGGGAATAGCCTTGGTTTTGCCATCAATGTTTACCAGATGCTCTGCAGAGGAACCTGTGATCGGAGCTAACAGGCTATATTTAAATCGAGGTGTTTTACGTTTACCGCACGGTTCTTGGGGTGATGTCGTTTTTCCCAAAACCTGGTCGACAACTGTCAGTGTGAGTAACTGTGTCCACATTGTGTGTTGTAGGAACAGTTGGAAATTCCTGCTTCAAAGCACACGTATGCTTGCTGAAAACCTCTCCAAGCTGATCTCTTGCCTGAAATTCAGGAACACTGGAAGAATAAAAACCAGTCAGTTGTTTTTTCTTGATTTTTTTAAAAACGTCAGTAAACACTCGGTGGTCCTGATTCCTACACACGCTGACCAGTCACCTTAACTGGGAGTCCTCGTTGGGCTTCAGAGGGCCTGGGGTCAGACCCAGTGAGCAATCTGACAGCATGTATTGATGTTAAGGAGCCAGAGAGAACAGATTTTAGAAATCAGCTACAGTAGATTTACTTTAAAACGTGTTCTGTTTACCAAATCGTATATCAAAGATTTAGTTTGGAGAACTGGAAGCTCAGTATGCTAACGCAAATATTAATGTTTATAATTATTTATTCTTAGAGGTAAATATAAAGGAAATAATAAGCCTGACCTTTTTTTAAAAAAAAACCAAACCTGTTTGGATCAATTTGGCTTTTAAAACCAGTTTTCCATCCTGAACTGAATAATTTGAAATCCATGAATTGTCATTTACAATGATATTATTCCCACAAAATCTGGGTGAAGCTGGATTACTACCAGCCAAATCTGTAGATGCTAAGGCAGAAATTTGTGTTAAATGTGCAAAGACACAAGGGTGGCTGACACAGAACCTCTTGAACTCTTGCACTCGTTGCATCTTCACAGTCATGAGGAACCTGGTGGGAAACTTCTTCCCATCCTGGTGCAAAAGGATTGACGATGGGTGGGGGTAAAAAAGATCCATGTACACGTGTTGAAGAACACACTGCAATGAACTCAGATACCTCGAGCAGGTATCTTCAGGTTCATTTCAGAAAACATGGATAAATAAAATGCGTTATGCTTTTAGAATCTTACAGTGCTCACTTCATCCTACCGTACCCTCTTAATTTTGCCGCTAGTTTGTGAAGACTGGTGATATATACGCTTTTTGCCCCTCCACCTGTCACTGTCTGCAGTCAAAACCATGTTTTGAAACAGTTCTTTTGACTGGGTGCCTTTGGATGTTGAAAAATGAGTGACTTATAAAAGGGAGGGAAAACCAAATTTGGTCCTGGAGGTTTGTGTCCAGTTCCTTAAATGGCTTTGTTCTGGTAAGAGTCAGAGGCCAACCAATAAAATAATGTGGGGGGGAAAAAAGTACTAAGCTGACAGGAAGAATGGAACCAAATTCTCACGTAGTACCCCCAGGTTACAGAAAGGGCTGAAGTTTCGTGTGAACTCAAAACCTTTGGGTCCTCCGTTTGTTCTGAAAGTTTCTTGACTTTACTGAGGAGGAAAGTAGCCACAAAACTGTTCCATAAGCCTTTGGATGGTCTGTCTTGGCGTGTGATGAGAACAGACACAGGAGATAATGTGGTCAAAGCATTAACGAGTAGCTTCCTCTCCTCAGTGATAAAACATGTCTAAATTAGGGCAGCACCGGGGTGGATTTAACCTATTTCGCAAGGCGATGCGGCCACAGCAGTGTTACCAGAAGGGAACTGGGAGGCTCTTGCTTTTTAACCTCTGTGCAAGAATCGAGCAAAACCACAGAGGTCACAGACTTCTTAAAAATCAAGTAATGAAAAGCAAATATGACCATTTTCCTTCCACATTACTGAAAAAATCATGGCATCTTCTCAGCTCTCTCTCTTCAACAATCCTTTCAAGCTGCACACCTTGAAAAAGTGGCGTTTCTCGCTGAGGTTGTAAGAGGTACGGTGCTACAAATTCAACATAAAACTGCATTTTAGCTCCATCTGTGGGCTAGTAGGAAAAAACACAGGGACTCATCGCAGATCGAATCTTGTACCGATATCGTCGGTGTCGGAAATACAGGCTCTTGTTCAAAAGTCCACAAACAAATCAAGCTCTCTCATCAGCCATGGCAGAACACGTTTGTCCTCGCCATAGCTGACTCAAACAGTAAGAGGTTTTTTTACTCAAAAGTAAGGTTTTGCTTTGAAATGTACAGGAATTTCTGTGCTTATGTTACCAGGCTCTGCTCCCAACTAAAAACAAAAAAGGGGCAAACAGTAAACCAACACAGAACTAGCATGTCTACAAAGCTGCGTAAGTGAAACGGCTTGGGATTACGCAGAAACATTCTATGCAATTATGGTGTAGGAGTGATTTTTTTAAAAATTATTTTAAAAGTTAGTGTTTCTCAGGTGTTTTCGGGACGTTTTGTGGGTGGGCAGGTGATATTGGTGAACGGGGTTACAGGTGGTGGAAGGGGGCTCGCTCTGCACCCATGCGTGTTTGCTTCGGTCGTCTCTCTCACGGGGAATTGTGCTCAGACAGGAGCTTCCTTTTCAGATCTTGGCTATCACCAGAATTGTTCTACTTCACTTTATTAAGAGTAGAGATTAGTTTGTTCTCTGAGTTGCCATCTCTTCTTGGTAGCAGTTATTTAAGGCTTTTTACAAAACTAGGAGGAGGCTGTGTGGATAAACACAAAAAACTTGGTTAATATTTTATCCCAGAATAGAAAATAATTATTTTTTTTATCAACCCTTGCAATAAACATGAACTTCACAAACCCACTGCTCTACAAAGGGTATGTGCATTAGCTTACTAGTGAGTGAGCAGTCTTACCATGTACCATAAACTTATATGCCTGAAACATTTCTCCTTCTCCTCGTGAGGAAGAGTGCAAGTGTAGGCTCCAGACATAGTCTCCGTAAAAGCCATCACCATTAGCTTTCCCTTTTCTGCAAGATTCACATTCTTTCGCCCTAGAATAGAAAAAGGAAATGCTTCATTAGTGGAAATGTTCATTTCTGCTGCTCTGCTCGTTTAGAATATTTGAAGGTGAGATTGGGCTCTTGTATCTAATGGCACTCATTTGCGTTGCTCTACAGCAGTCTAAAGTTTATGACCTTTAGGACCTATTGCAAGTTTCCTTCTCTCAAGCTTCTGAAAATTTTAGAGGGAGAAGAGAAACATAGTCTAAGGCCAGAGCTCGTGGAAAAATTTGACAAGGACCTAGTGACTATTTGGACCCGCCATCCTATTGCAGGGTGGCATCAACAGAAACAAGGAAAACATGATTTCATGTACAGTAATCAACTTAGCCATTTGTGGTTGGCTTTTCCCCTTGTAAATAGAAAACAGAAACTATTTCTCTATCTCAGCATATTTTCCTGACTGCCTCTGAGTTTGTGAAAAAGTGCAGTAAAAGCCCATTGTATTAGTGACGGGGGAAAAACTGGCTAAGGCAGGCAGAGTGGAAATCCTTTGTAGTCCGAAGAAAGTGACTAACCTTCTAAATTTTTTCCATCTGGACCAGTCCACAAATACTTGGGATCTACTTCTTCTTGAGAATGGGCCAGATCCATATGTACTAGAAACAGGCTATTTGTAAACACCTTAACAAACACATTAACTGCAATACAAGAGAATAAGGTAAACGATGTGAAGTGTTTATATGGAATGAAATCACCCAAATATTAATTTCAAACCTAAAATTACCTTAAATATATTTTTATTTTCCGTGCCTGGACTTGAGAAGGATGAGGTTAATCTTTTCTCTCCAGTTGCTCTTATTAATATCACGGAACTGTCCACAGCGTCGTTGGTGCTGACTGCACCCAGGAGACACCTGCGTCCCGCACGGGTCGTGGTGCAGGGTCACAAAAAAAACCCCAAATTTTGAGCCTTTTGCAGAACGGGACCCTCATTGAGAAGTTAAATTTTCAGAAGTGCTTATAGGAGCATCGTGGGAGAAATGTATTTCTAAACCCACTCCCCCCTTGTTACTGGGATTGTGTTCCGGTGTCTCCAGCACGATGTTAAGTTTGCTGGTGTCACTTCCATGTGTGGCGTTGTCTATGTCATGATCACTGTACCTAAAACTCCACTTTGAAAGTCTAGTGAGACCTAAATATATGTGTATATATAAAAAGAGAAGTTGATCTTCATGTCCGATACTGTCATAAACATAATTTCCATTAAATCAACACAACGTTGCTCTTCCTTAGGTACA